ATTATAGGCATAGCTAGGGATATTACTTTCGGGATTATCGTAGTATGAGAGGATATAATCGAATCCTTTATGGTCAAAGCCTTGATTTGCTCGCACAACCATTGTGGACCGATAAGTTTCAACGCGAACATACTTCTTTTCGCACAATGGAATAATGCTTTCACTGTTAGCCACACTACAATTCGCTATCACAATGCACCGATTCTTCGCGTCAATATATCTGGAATTTATTTTGAAAAAAAAAAAATCGGTTTAATTCAAATTAAGAACAATGAACGTGCAACCTAATCATAAGATGCATCGGACACACATACAAACACACACACACACCCACACACTTACACAACCACATACATACACACCACACACACACGCCCACACACACATGCACCAACGCATACACACCCACACACACATACACACACCCACACACACATACACACTCACACACACTCACACACACATACATACCCACACACACATACACACCCACACACATACACACCCACACACATACACACCCACACACATACACACCCACACACATACACACCCACACACGTACACACCCACACACATACACACCCACACACATACACACCCACATACACACCCATACACATATACACCCACACAGATACACACGCACATGCATACACAACCACACGCATACACACCCGCACACATACATACCCAAACACATGCACGCCCACACACCCACACACATGGGTACCTCTACACATACACGCCCATGCACATACACGCCCATGCACATACACGCCCATGCACATACACACCCACACACATACACGCACACATGCACGTCCACACATATACACACCCACGCACATACACACCCGCACACATACACGCCCACACACATGCATACTCATACACATACATGTCCATGCACATACACACCCACACACACATGCACATCCGCACACATACACACGCAGACACTTGCGTACATGCACACATATACACGCACAGACAACACAGCGACAATATGCGTTTTGTGCAGCCGTTGCACAGCAAAAAACGCCAAAAAAGCATCAGATTTGCGACGGAAAAAAAGCTAGACATTCGATTGCTGTTCTCAGAACAATTCATACCTTCTTCTGACAAATACATATTCACGAGGATACATCGGATAAGGAAATTTTGAAACCCAGTGAATGAGCTCCGAATCAGTTGCTTCATCCCGATGCAACAATTCAAGCTTCTCAACGTTCGTATCCCATTTTTGTCGAAATGCAAGATCCATCTGTGCATCAACAAAATCATTAGCAGTAATATCACTGAAATAGGTACAGATATGAAAGCAGAATAAAAAGAATGAAAAAAAAAGACTGAGAAAAAAAGAGACACTGTAGAAACTGATACAGTGAAGAAGCTAGCAATGCTAATGTTTTAATGACGCATCTCTGTCCAATTAATATCTATAAAAACTGTTAGAACTATTATATATGAAGAGTGTGTATGTGTGTGCATGTGTGTGGGTGTGTATCTGTGTGGGTGTAGTGAGTATGTACCAATGGGGAATGCATGTCAGTGCTAATCTACTATGTCGCTAAGTATCAAATGTCCAATTTTTCTAAGCCATAAGTTTGAGAATCGATGTCTCTAAACATTTTATTTTTACAGATTTTGGGTTTTTTTATCTGCATATATGTATATGCAAAAACGCATACTGGCAAGGGGGTGTCTGTCTGCGTGTGTGTCTGTGTGTTCGCACTTTTTGTCACCCACTTTCAACTCGAGAACCAGAAAAACTAGAAGGCTGAAAATTTAAAGGCACACTCTCTGCCCGCATACAACTTAAAAATTTCAGATTCAGCCGCCCCTTCTCCCCCAGTACAAGTGGTACTCATGCACGAGCATGTGAAAGTTTTGGCGGAAAAATTACTAACTCAGGAATCAGAAAAGCTAGAAGGCTGAAATTTTAAAGTTATTTTCCCCGTTCACATACAACTTAAAAATGCATTCCAGTCTGGGTTTTTTATTATGGAGGTGCATTGTCACTCTTTCAAACAGACAACTGTCTAATGCAAAAGTAGTGTATTTGCACATTTTCGCGTCAACATATTATGGAAAATCGCCTGGGATATCGAAACAGATACCAATTCAAAAATGTTTGAAAATTTACTCATATGAACCGGAGCAACGAAATTCGTATAAACCGCTACCATCACGCAGCCGTCGCAGCACTTTCGAATTTTCTTCATTCCGTACGAGCTAAAATTAAAAGGAAAAAAAATACTTTTTGCGCCCATCGAAAGTACTAGTTTCATAAAAAATTACGTTAACATCATAACAAATTCACTCACAGTTTTGGCACATTTAACTAACAGTCCAGTCAGAGGACGAATGAAATAACCCAGGCTAGAATGCACCAGGCTTGCCGGTGCGATTATGCGTCTTGGCACCGGATTTGAAGTACTCATGTCGTTAATTGCATAAATGGTTGCTGCTCTACACCTACCTTCTGCGCTCAATCATCGTAAATTTTACGTAAAGGAAATGAACAATTTCGGTTTAGTGGTCTTTCCTTGAAAATTGCTTATCTGTTCAATGAGCAATTTACCCGTCAAAACTTTAAATGCTCGTACGTGAGAAGCGAACATACTCGGAGGCTGAACTTGAAACATTTAATTTGTAGCTGGACAGGGAACATTCCCCTAAAATTCCAGCTTTCCAGCTTTTCTGGTACTCTAGTTAGTAACGTTCTCGTCAAAATTTTCACATGCCCATACTTGAGTGGCACGCATACTTAAGGGCTGAATTTGAAATCTTTAGCTCGCACACGCATAGAGAATATCCCCGCAAAGCTTTAGTTCTTTATTCCTTTTGATTCCCGAAATCGCTTTTCCGTCAAAAAATTTGCATTTTTTTTAAGAGCTCCGTAAGCGGCACCCAGGCGTACGCGGATGATGGTATTAAAACGGGAGGGTGGGACATGGTGCAAGCACATACTCCCAAAGGTTCAGCCTTGTAGCATTCCTCGTTTTCGAGTTGAAAGTGGGTGACAAAAAGTGCAAACACACAAACACACACACATCCTCTTGCCAATATGCGTTTTTGCATCAGCATGTATGCAAAAACGCATAAAAATCAGGTACTTGCTTCTCTGGGAGCAACTCATTACACAAAGGCAAAATCTTATGTCAAAAAAAAAAACCAAAATCTTATAAAGGCCCAAAAAATAATTCCGAAGGAATGTAAATCCAAACATACCTCCCAGCCATCGGTATTAGCCCCCTCGAGATGCGTTTTGATTTCAGTATGGATCGTTTCATCCGAAATTCCATTTTCGCGGAATGAGAAACCAGCAGCAGAGATGGCCATTAGAAATTGAGACCGCCAACGAAACCTTTAAAAATTTTGACATTTTTAACCAAACTTGAAACGATTAAAAATATTAGGAGTCAAACGAAAAAAAAAACTTGCCATAAGAAGACCAAAAGTCATAAAAAGCGAAAAAAATGCGATTACAAAATCGAATTATTGCTTAACTATTTGAAAAAAATTTATTTCCTAAAAAGCTCGGAGGTTAAAAATTAATTCAAAAGGCGAGCAGAAAAATAAAAAATAAAAAAAATATCTACTCAAAAAATCAGTTTTTGAGAGGGGATGGCACTCATAAACAACCCATTTAGCATTAGCATGTGCCAAAAGCTCCATTTGCAGGGATAGTGATGGCTTATCCCTCTTCTAACGGCTGTTTAGGAGCAGTCCATAACTAGTATGTAGTAGTATCGATCTGCCAGTGAAAAGAATGAAAGAGCCGCCCCTCGATTTTTAGCGCAAGAACAAGCCGTATGTCATTGCTTATCGATAAAACAAAAATTTCAATTAGCAATGCATGAGACTTCGATATGAAATGCTCAAAAATCGACGATCAAAAAAAAAAAAAGCGACGGTTTGAAAGTAAATTAATATGCAGATATAAGAATGTAATACTTCAATATTTATAGCTTTAAAAGTAAAGCAACCAGTAAAAATGGAACAAATACATGTTCGACGTGAGCAATAATAAACCCACGCTGTAACGCAGCAGGCTTGCTGCCAGTGCGATCGTGCATTTTTGCGCTAAGCTTGCAGATCACTAACCAGTAGGAATAGTTCCTGTGCTGTAGTTTAACAATTAGACTGATACTGGCTGTGTTTTGACATCTTCTCGAGTGTAGCAGAAAAGGAGCTCACTATTTTACCAATTTTTTTGACCAATACTGTTGCTTCTAGTGGGCAATCTGCTGCTGACTATCTTGATGTTCGTCTTATGAGATCAATCATAACATTTTTTTTTTTTTTTTTGATCACTACTACTATGCCTGGTGACCAGTCTGTTGCTAGCTATTCTGATATTCGTTTCATGAGATCAATTCAAATCAAATCAAATGAACTGGAATCAGATGAAATGGAATGGGTTGAAGGAATAGAAGGAAGGAAGCAGAGAGAGATGTGTATGCAATACGTGTGAAACAAGTAAGGAGGATATATGCTGAGGACGAGTTTACGCATGGCTGTCTGTGTTTCATCCCTAATCAACTAGGAGAAATATGAGTCAAAAAAAAAACCCCCAAAAAGATCATTCCGTGACGAATTTTGTGGCAATATTGACTGCTCAGAATTATCCCACAAATTGTTTGCCCCAAAAAGCATCAGGCAAGAAGATAAACTGTGTACGAGAAGGGTGAGAAGTGCTAAAAATCCATAGCACCTAACACATTAAAATATTAAATGGGAGAGCCAAGTGGCAGTGCACAGCAGCAAGCAATGCCTTACCATTGCCGCCATCGTTTTTCGGAACTTCGCCATCCCGAACAGTCGGTCGATTTGCACAGCTGTGGCCTGCGCAGCTGCCGAAATAGAAAGAATAAAAATCGCTTCTGGAAAGCCTGCATCGAGATACCAGCGTGGCGCATTTGCCGCCTCGTCTTTTTGTTGTTATTTCATAATATTTTTGGATAAATCACCACGGCAAATTTCACGGAACTGTAAAAAAAAAGCAATGAATAATCCATGAATTTCACAAGCAGTAGTCACTGAATCATTACCAATGAATTTTTGCATTAATCCTAATTTCAAGCTTATTTTATTTTTATGAATTTAATGTATGCGAAACAAAATATAAAGTCATCGAGCATGGAGCTAACGACATTTTTTTTTAGCTGTTGTTATGCGAACAAATCGTCTGTGTTTCATCCCTGAACTGTAAACGTTGTTGTCCGAGCAATGCGTGCGAGTAGGAATGGGAATCATCAATTCGCTATGTAGGGAATAGGATTTCTTGTTCCGTGATGGAGTTGATAAAATTTTGTAGCTATTGCATCTGCGAACAAGCAATCTGTGTTTCATCCCTTAGCTGTAAACGTTGCTGTCTGAGCAATGCATGCGAGTAGGAATGGGAATCATCAGTACAGTCTTCTGATTATCATGCAGAGAATAAGCTTACTTGTTCGAGGATAGAGTTAATGACATTTTTTAGCTATTACATTACAAGCAATCTGTGTTTCATCTCTGAGCTGTAAACGCTGCTGTCCGAGCAGTGGATGTGGTTAGGAATGGGAATCATCAGTACAGCCTCCTATTCACCATATAGAGAAAAAGCTTACCTGCTCAATGGCGAGACCAGGATGAAAAGTGGTTTTTAGAAACAACAGAGTGAGAAGGATAAAGACAAGAAGCTATACAACAGTCGGTAAAAAGTAACGCCTGTTTCGTCACCTGACACGATTACTAGTTCCCTATTGTTTTTCGAACAAAAACACCAAACAGGCTTTAGTCTTTCCACATATCCCCTTATCATTTCATATTCCCTTATCATTTCAAGGCATAAATAAACCTTATCATTTCATCCCGAACGCTGATAATCCTACATTACAGTGAGATATCCCACCGGTGAGAAGAGCTATTTCCCGATCAAAATTTAATGAATGAATCAAATCTATGGATACATGCAATCTCCTTCTTATGCTGTTTGATGCTAAAATTCTCGATGAAGAAACAAAAAATCCGTGGATGAAGGGATAAAAAAGGGCGTAAATTCTCCGAGCAATTCAAAAACCTCACCAAAACCATCCGAGACAGCTTCGAGTATTTAAAAACCCGCAGAACATGCATGAGACGAATCAGCAGAAGATGAAATCATCAATGCCCAGATTGTAAAAGAATGTTTTTTTGGATAAAATCCAGGTTTTTTTTTCCGCAAAAGCAGCGATTCCGGAAAGCTTTATTGCCCAATTGATGCACAAAACAATTAAGCGTTTGAAGAAGTGATCAATTTAAAAGATATGTGGCAGTAAAATATACAAAAATTCGCGAATCACATGCACACTGGCAAAAACATATATACCGTGAAAATTACGCCAATGATACGAGCAGTAATATGCTTCTAAGATGAGAAAAGGAGCAACAGAGCTGGAAGTTAATGCAAAAAAGAAAAAAAAGAAAAATTACGAAGTTTTTAACACTATTGGTTTTTTACTTAATCCACGTAACAAATCAAGAAAGGATATGAAGTAAAATTTCGAAAAAATCGAGACTTGACCGTCCATCTTAAACAGTTTT